TAAGAACAGCCTTCAGAGATATTAAAAAAGAACGAGTTAGATAGATAGATAGATAGGACTTGATAATTGAAAAGGCTCTTCAGAATTAGATGTTAAAAACGAGGTAATGAGAGTCTATAGCTTATGAAATTGTGATAATAAAAAGCGACCAGATAGGATAGATATAGATGCTATTCCTGTTTTAGTGGTTTTACTTTTTAAAATGATTAATCTGTCAAATTAAATTGACATCTCTAATACGATCGTTCTTAAGATATATTTGTTATCTAATGCCTTACTGCTTATGTGATTAATGGAATTTATGATATCATCTTTAGATCGAGCGAAATTGCTACTGACTGTGGCTCAATAAATTGTACCAGTTGAGGTGATCAGCAATCTTATTGTTGATTACAGCTTTAAAAAAGTTGGCGAAGCGGATCGAGCTATACTGAGAATGGGATGTGCGCTCACCGGCATTCTTGAAAACAAAACACACATTCCACATCTTCCATAGACTTGGGAAGCATTTCTCCTTCAAACAGCGGTTTTGTAAAGATCGGGGATAATTCAGTGTTGATATTCTTAAGAACAACCAGTGGGATTTTCTCTGGACTGGTAGCCTTCTTAGGGTCAATATTTTTTATAAGTCTAAAAACTACCAGGGTTTTAATAAAATTATTATTATTATTGAAAATACTTATATCGTGAGCAGGCAAACATGAATGGTAATGGACGCGAGGCTGCTCGAATGTATCAGATTGCATTTCCATCGTCCGAATTGGGCGCTATGGCAATAAATTGCTGGTGTAGGGTTTATAAAAATTGGCGAAGCGGATATATGATACGTTAAAAGATTCCTTTCTTCATGCTGTCTCCTTCGATAGCGGTTTTTTTTTCTTTGGCTGATCGGTCGAGTTTTGATCCCAGGATTGTGAGCAAACATGGATGTCTAGACATTATATATATATATATATATATATATATATATATTTTGATTGATTGAAGCAATCGGATGTCTAGACATTATATATATATTATATATATTTATATATATATTTTTTATTATAATTTATTTTATTTTACTAAAGATGCAACTTGGTTTCAGTGCATTTCAACTGCAGTTCAACAGGTGAGAATTGAAAATGGTTTTGAAAAAATCCTGAAGTGCAGTTGAAATGCACTGAAACGAAGTTGCATTTTTGTAGTGAGTAAAATAGTTTTGTCTATATGATAAAATTATAATAAAGGAATAATTATCGCTCTACTATCGGTATCGAGCCCTCTTTTGGATTAATGCTGTGAACGTTGGAATTTATATATTACTTTCGTTCTCATCACACACACACACACACACACACACACACACACACACACACACACACACACACACATATATATATATATATATATTTATATATATATATATTGAACAATAAAAAATATTAAAAAATTAAAATCTTCAGACACACTGGGTTGTAGATTAACATTCTTTCGTTTATTTTTATTATTATTTCATTTAGATTCCTCGACTAGTTTCGTCCAAAATGGCCATCATCAGGAGAAGAAATATTTCTGCTTGCTGGTAGCGGTGAACTTTTTTCTGTAGTTTTCATTTGTTTTTTTATTTTTTTATTCTTTTTAACATGAATCTTTTAACATTCCTTGTGTTGGACAAACAGTCTCTTTTAAGTTGTTATTTGAGATAAGAGCTGCATGGATCTATGCTGCTCTGAATTCTCTTGGTCAGTTTGACAGTTTTATTGGTTCCTCGAGAGGGGATATATCTCTGTTAAGTGTGTGTGTGCGTGTGTGTTATTTGGTTCTTAGGGAGTGAGTATGATATGTATAAGCGCGTGTATTGCTGTGGGTATGTGTTATCATTTGGCTCATTAGGGTGTGAGTGAATATGATGTGTGTAAGTGTGTATATTCGTGTGGGTGTGTGTATAAGTGTGAGGCCTCAGCACCTCCGTAAGCATGTCTGTCTTGTGTGGGTAGGTTTTGATTTGTAGAGTTATATATTAGTACTATCTATATTGTTAAATTTATGGTTTATATATATATATATATATACATATGAATATAGATAACTAGACTCGTTTCGAAAAACCCTCGAATTTTTGATTTGTTAATCAAATCAATTTCGAGGGAAAAAAAGGTTTTAAAAAAAGAAAGAGCTACAAACATGAACTTCTGCCGAAAAAAAAATTGCACAGATGCAGGTCTGAAGCCCAAAGAAAAAAACCCGTTTGTCTGGCTCACTAGGTGTATGTATATATATATATATATATATATATATATATATATATATATATATATATATATATATATATATAGTATTAGTACTATTCGGATTCAAATACATTGACGGGAAACAAGGATTGTCACATCTGCGACAATTGTGACCCGTTCACGTTGAGGATGTACGGTCCAGTCTTCCGTTCGTGCCAATGACGTCCCGTTGACGCCGAAGTTGTGCAGTCCACGCCGCTAACAGCATACAGGTGACGTTAAGAATAGTTTAATGTTTCCCATATTATATGACTTGTTGATTAAAAGCACAAAATGTTTGTATACATAATAAAAAGAAGAAAAAAAAGAAAGAAAATGAAAATAAAAAGATTGCGAAAGAAAAAAAGCGGAACCAAAATAAATAAAATAAAAAAGAAAGATAAAATAGAAGAATGTAAAAAGAAAGTGAATATTTCAGAAACGAATTTAAATTTGAACAATTTTAAATTTAGAATGTTATACAAAATATTTGAGAATAGTAATGATTGCTATTCCAAGAAGAAAAAATGAATAAAAAAAATGAAATTGAGAAAAAAAATGAAGTTAAAATGAAAACAAATAAATCCTTGAAAAAGAAAAAAAACGGCTTTATTAAAAACACGACGAAAATCTTTATAAAATAGTTAATTTGAATGAAAGAAAAAAAAACAAATAATCCGGAAAAAAGAAAGAAAATTGACGTTAAAGGAATAGAAATACAAAAAAAAAAAAAAAGAAAAGAAAATCCGATGAAAATTAATAAAAATGAAAGAAAAAAATTAACAGAATAGCGACAATAGATTCAAAAATAAATCTAAAAAAAAAGTTAAATAAAAGACGATTGTAATTTTAAGAGAAAGCGAAACAGATTAAGAGAGAGAAAAAATATCATCAACAATAATAATCAAAACTGAAGTGGACAAAAAAAAATCAAGGTAGAAAGTATCCATAAAATATTGAGTAAGGTTTATAAATATATAGTGTATTGTTCTTTAAATAAAATAAAAATCATGCACAAATATTCCATACCACCAGCAATAATAAAAATACAAGCAACAGAATAAGCACTTCTATTATTCGAAGAACAATAAATGCTTTCTAAAAAAGGAAACAAATGGAATAAAAAAAGATTAAAAAAAAATTGGAAAGCAAGAAAAATGGTTCCCTGTGGAAGTGAAAATGGAAAAAGGGCAAAGAACAATTGTTCAGAAAGTGAAGTTAAGGAGTAAAAGAACAAGAAGATGGCAACATGTTTACGACATAAATATCAGATGAAATATATTTAATTCCAATGTGGCCGACAGTTATGAGAAACAAGAAGGCGGAATAGAGCAGACATTTTATTCCACCCCACCTCCGAATATCGTTTAATAAAGAAAAGAAGAAATGAAATTGACTAAAGAATCTCAACGGAATCCTAAATTGCATCTATCTATCTAATTCTGTTCATATCTATCTATCTATCTATCTATCTATATATATATATATATATATATATATATATATATATATATATAATTCTGTTCACACGCACACACACACATACACACGCACGCACACACACACACACACACACACACACATATATATATATATATATATATATATAAATAATTCTGTTTATATCTATCTAATTATGTTTATCCACTTCTCTTCATATGCATGTATGTATCTATCTAATTCATTCTCTTCATCTATCAATCAATCAATCTCTTTCTCTATCTATCTATCTATCTATCTATCTATCATGAAACAAAATCTTAGTTGATCAATTGTAACTACAATAAAGTTGACACCTAAAATCGTTCAATTCAAAGTAGAGGCTATTATAAAACATAATATAGATAAAAAGTAAATGAATAATACAAAAGCAACTCTTGTTACACTCTTACAATGAGGGACAGACCGGTCACGTTGTATATATATATATATATATATATATATATATATATATATATACGTAAATTTAAATACGAACGCTTTAAGAATTTTTAGGTTTTGTTTATTGTTTTCATGTTTAAGTATACTTGTGTTTTCAACGAGGATTTTACGGAATTGTGTACGCGGCCAGGAAAGTTGTTTTAAATGCCTAAAAATGTTAGAGTACCATTCAAATGTAAAGTCAAGCGCCGTGAAAGCAAGTTTGTGGTGTGACCAACAATAAATATTATTTAATCCATTGGAGATACAATCTCTCAAAGGGCACTTGAACGTGTAAACTATGTTGGTTTTTGCAAATCACTAACGAGGAGGAGGAAGAATCATTGCGAATAGTTAAGTTGGATATACTGAATTTAGTGTAGTATATGATTAACCCAATTTTTTGCTAGGATCTGTTATATATATATATATATATATATATATATATATATATATATATATATATATATATATATATATATGTGTGTGTGTGTGTGTGTGTGTATGCTGGGAAACAGCAAGACAGTCTCTCTGTGGGTGGCAATATATATACATGCTACTGAAAAAATTATTACTTATTTTCTCTTATGAGAGAAAAATGAATTTGCAAACAGTGACTATTAATGCTGCTGATGCAAGTCTCTTCGTTAAAACGAATCGAGTTCTTCGGTCACTGGCGTGTTTATCTAAAAATAAATACGTCTAAATTCACCTTGCTCCCTCTTGTGCGCCAATGGCCTAGGGATAAAATCACCGACTGATACCTATTCAGTCGGGTTTTGATCCCGGCAATCGGATGTCTAGTC